GACAGAGTGCATATTTATGCCGTAATTTATAGAGAAAAAAGCTTCACAACAGTCATTTCCTGGCTATTTCCTCCCCAAAACTAAACCATAGACTGCACATTTAAAATCTAAACGAGTTTAAAAGAAGTTAAATACTTTTACAAAGCTATTTCCTCGCAAGTTATTTACTTAGATCAAAGCATGAAAACCGGATTGATTAAACAGACAAATTTAAATTTGTTGTTTCAAAATAAAACTGACATGTTAAAACAACCCAGTTCACTCCTTTAAATTATGAGCAAATATTAAATTTGCTCTTTTGTATGCAGTTTTCTAATTATAAGTTTCTGCTTGCCTTAAAATTTCCAAATAGACCATAAGTTTCCAGGAGTAAACGTTCCATGCCCAGATAGATGTTTTCAGTGTAAGAAGTAGCAGTAGCAGATTTAAAACATTTAAAGAAATCTAAATGTCTTTGCCTGCTTCCAAATAGCATGGGCATGACCCGAACCTTAATCAATACAAGAATCAAGGAGCCCTTTCACCAATCCGTGCCCAACAGTTCACGCCAACCTGCAGGTCCCCAAGCAGCAACAGTTCTGGCTGCAGCCAAACAACTTCTTATGGTTGTCGGCCCCACAAACACCAGGGCACAGAGGAGGTGCAGGCTGAAACAAAAAGAAGAAATAAATAAGAAATGGGGGGGGGAGTAGAAGGACGTGCAAGAGAAAAGGAGCCCATAAATTGTGAGCCCAGTGCAGGGCTGCAGCCTGATGAATAGAGCCATCAGCTTAAGCAGAGGCTACAGAGCAGCCTGCCATCTGCCTGCCCATTACAAGAATGAAGTGTATGACAATCTGCTCTCATCTGCAGGGCCCACTGGCATCTCCAACAAGCAGGAACTTTTCTGTTTGTGTGCATCTGCGCATCGGCTCGTGCTCCTCCATGCCTGAACTTAAACCATCACCGATTTGAGTTTCTCCACGATGGGATTTTAATTGAGAAAAATATAAAAGTTCAGTCACATTTAAAGCATAGTGTGTAAAAGCTAAGTGTGCGGATGAGAAGCAAGGCAAGGCAAGGCAAGGCGGGGCTGCCCTCGGAGAAGAGCTAAAGCGGCGTGACATACGTTTCACACCTCATTGGCGAGCGAGGAGAGCCAATCAGCTCCAACAGATCCGCCCCTCAGGCTGCTGCTCTATTCTTTGGTATCAGCGGCAAGTTACAGGGTGAGGGATGGAAAGACTTGGAAAAAGTTTGAGAACAAAAAAAGGGATGCAATAGAAGAATTGAAATAAGGAGAGTGAATGCAAAAAAAAGTAGCATAGCAGAGGACCATATGAGGAGACAAGAGGCGAGGAGCGAGCAATTCCTTCCTCGGAGAAGGTCAATACATTGAACTTGGTTAGTCATCATGGTGGAGGATGCTGTCTTTTGTGCTGCAGAGTTAAGTGCTTTGTGATATATATATATATATATATATATATATATATATATATATAATATTATATATGTATATATATATATATATATATATGTAGGACAAACCCCTACATGGGATGTACCACCAGCAAATAACCCAAGTGGCTGATTCAGTAAATCCTACCAATGGCTGGAAAAAGCTGGACTCAAGGACAGCACAGAGGCCCTCATCCTGGCAGCCCAGGAACAGGCCCTAAACACCAGAGCAATAGAGGCCCAGATCTACCACACCAGACAAGACCCAAGGTGTAGGTTGTGCAAGGAGGCCCCTGAGACAGTCCAGCACATCACAGCAGGGTGCAAGATACTTGCAGGGAAAGCGTACATGGAACGACATAACCAAGTGGCAGGCATAGTGTACAGAAACATCTGTGCAGAATATGGACTGGAAACCCCAAGATCAAAGTGGGAAACACCCCCAAAGGTGGTGGAGAACGCCAGAGCTAAGATCCTGTGGGACTTCCAGATCCAGACAGACAAAATGGTAATGGCGAACCAACCAGACATTGTCGTAGTGGATAAACATCAGAGGAAAGCCGTTGTGGTAGATGTAGCAATACCAAGTGATTGCAACATCAGGAAAAAGGAGCACGAGAAACTAGAGAAATACCAGGGCCTCAGGGAGGAACTGGAGAGGGCCTGGAAGGTGAAGACCACAGTGGTGCCTGTGGTCATCGGGGCCCTCGGGGCAGTAACCCCCAAACTGGAGCAGTGGCTACAACAGATCCCAGGAACAACATCAGACATCTCAGTCCAGAAATGTGCAGTCCTTGGCACAGCCAAGATACTGCGCAGAACCCTCAAGCTCCCAGGCCTCTGGTAGAGGACCCGAGCTCAGAGGATAAGAACCACCCGCGGTGGGTGAGAAGGGAATTTTTTTTTTTATATATATATATATATATATATATATATATATATATTTTTTTTTTTTTCTCATTTCAGCTTCTTAAAGAGTCGACGCAGTATGGAACGGAAATATCATAAAAGCACCAAAATGAAATTTTAGTTTTATCTCTATGATGAGAGCAGCCCAGTAGGGGAACTGGTGTTAGTGGGAGTTACAAAGGCACACATTTCATACAGAGAGCAGGAAACAGTGAAGGCTGCGGGGATATATAAGCTTGTGAAAGTAGAAGATAAAATGATCAGGGTGATGCCAGGAGAAATGAAAAATAAGCATTCCACAGATTTCACAGATCATAAAAAAAGCAGAATGATGGAGACAGTCAGAAAAAAAAGGATTCTCATAAAACCTTTTTTTATATCATGGAATCTGAATAAACAGGGCCTTGGAGGGGTATTCACACCCCGTGCGCTTGTTTCCCATGCAGTACCACATATTACAATGCATAATATGAGGATTTTATCTGATAGACCACTGGGTTGTTGCTCCATTGTAGCTGCGACTGTATGTTCGGATTCACAAATGTTTTCTTTACAGATTAACCCCAAAGCATGATGCTGCCATCATCGAGCGCCATAATGTCATGAAATGTTCGGTTTCTGTCGCTCAAAGCAGCTTTTATTCTGAAGGACAAAAAGCTTGACTTCAGACTCATGGGATCTTCCTGCTGAAGAAAGATATTTCCCTGGGATGGGCAATATCCAGGGTCAAGTTTTTGCATGTAGGTCAAAATGTTCTTACATATCTGAAATGGAACATGGCTTTTCTAAAAATAATGCTCTCCTTGCCTGGTGCAGCAAGGTCAGAGGGTAAACAGTTTTCAAGGCACTGTTTGACTGAAAGACTGCGTAGTTTTTTCACTAAATATCTGTAAGAAATTGTTCATTTTTTAAAATCCCCAGCGATGCGATACACTCCACAAATTCTGCGCCATTGCCACCTGAAGAGATGGTTTGTTTGTTGACCTCTGCGGGTCTTTTTGTCTCTTTAAAAGAAGAATGATCAAAATTCAAGTTACCTGGAGCATAATAGTCATGACTCAGACTGGTAGAAAAACATGAAGCTCTTTTGGGGAGAAATCCATGTGTCACACAGGTGGAGAAAAAAAACAATTGGAATCATGACAGACACTTCAGAAGTGGTGGAAATTTCAAAGCAACATTTTTTAGCTAGAAAAGATACTAGGAGATACTAGGAGGAGAGAAATAAAACTTTACTGTTTTCTTCGACAGCAAAGTCAAACAAAACAGTATTATACTAACAATACAAGTAATGTTAATATTAACGAATAATACTAATTATTAGTTGCTAGTAATAAATAGTAGTATAAGAGGATTCAAAAGCATTCATCTTTGCGCTTTAAGCTAAAATTAACACCTGAAGTATATAACATGGGGACACAAAAAACTCATTAATTTTCAAATGAAGATATAGGCAACCAGACACTTTAACAGTAGTCTTCTTGCAGTTACCAGTAAAAAAAACACTATGAATTCATTCAGATCACTTGAAACTTCACTGACAACAGGAAATAGGAATATGGTTTCCCTAGGGAACAAAACTCAACATTCGTGTTATATTTTTATAGACAGTTAACTGCATTTGAGATCCCTGTGAAGGGCTTTACTCTGTTAAAGTTTAAAGTTTTGTCTCTTTAACATCATTATGTTCATATTTTAAAATATCCGAAATGTAATCTAATTATAACCCGAATGAAGTCTTAAATGGATTATTACTGGTGCATTGTTAGACAGTAAAGAAATGCATTTGGTGAAAAACACAACAAAAGATGTTTTTTTCCTTGGAGAAACACCTGCCATGAACCTCAAAATCTATAATCCCGAACCTTTAGAAAACTCCTCATACACACGTACACACACTCGCAGCGAAAGAAGCAAAGCCGTAACCCCTCAAGACTCCAAAAGTCAAAAAGCAGAAGGACAGCTGACTGACATTCAGAGGCGGATTAGTCACAACAAATCACACGCTTGCGTGGATGCACACACACACACAAGCACACACACTCTCTGTCCTTCACAGAGCTGCTCCTTCTGATGCCGAATTAAGATAAGCTCTCGTCTGTGATGACCTGCGATCACATCAGACTCAGGCCGCGTCCCTTTTAACAACACGTCCACACCATTAGCGCAGCTGTAAAAGAGTCAATGAATTACCACTGCTTAAACCCACACTGGAAAAAGTCAGCGACATGCAGTTTGTTGGTTTAGTTCAATCCAAGTGGGAATTTGGCAGAATAAAAAAACTAGAAGAAAGAAAATCGTCTGACAGACAAGAATAGAGTTCTAGTGTGGTAGTGGAGCAGGCATAGAGAGGAAACAAAACTAAGAACATGGAGAAAAAAAAAGATCACTTTTTTTTCTAGGAATATGATAAAAAGGGTTCCAAGCAGAACTTTACTTGAAAACTAATCTAAAATCACACCCACAGAATAAAGTTTTGATTTGAATACATTAACAACTATTAATCTACTTATAAAACTTTTAATTTCTCATTACCAGTTTGATGTTGGGCCACAGATCATGTCCACATTAGCAGACTAAACGTATAAGTAAGTAGCAAAGGTTAAAAGTGAGAAAGCCCACTACAAAATACTTAAAAAAAAACAAAAAGCAAAGACAGTAGAGGTTTGCTTTTATTTCCTCCAAACAAACAAGTGCTGTTTGCAAAAGCTCAACGCAGATACTAACATGAATGTCACCACAAAGGTCAAACAAAACAAATGCAGAGTAGCAACAAACACTTAGATGTTTATTTGGGTACATTATAGTGCACGAGGAGCAGGGAAACAATAAATAATGGAGAACAAAGTAGGACTGACGTTTACTATCATGATTGCTTGTTTTTCTAACTGTCCAGGTGAGAGGAGACGGGTTGTGATCGTGATCAGGATGGCTGGCTTACTGGAGGTGTTGGAACAGTTTACGGTAAAACGACGGCCCGGCTTGTGTTGTGCCATGTGGTTCTCCCGGCCAAAACATCCACACAGCATCACTGCCTCGCTGCCGTACTCACAGGAGAGTTCAAGCAAGGGAAAAAGAGGAAAGGAGGTAGAAACTATTGTCTGCATCTCTCTTTCTCTCTCGGGGTGTTGTGTTCGGTGACTCTAGTTTGGTTCGGTGCTCCACTGGGTTCTGAAGGTGCGCGTCTTGGTGCTGACTCATTCCTCTTCTTCTCCACTCTAGTTTGTCATCCAATCCGTTTATAATCTCCCAATATACTCAGAATTGCTCCCCCTTCTTCCTCCTTCATTCTTATCCCCCAGTCCTCAACTTGTTCTGTAGACAAATTGGAGAGAAGAGTGTGCATCAGAGAAAAAGCTGCAAACACACACACACAAAAAAAAGAGAGACGTAAATCACAACAGACAAACAGAGGAGGAAGATATTATTTCACACGCGAAAGAAGACACGAAAAGAGGGAAAGCCTGAGAGTACAATAAAAGAGAAGAGGATGAAGTGAGTTCAGGAAGCAGAGAAGGAACCCAAGGGCACTGGATTCTATATTAGTGATAAGTGCGAGCACAAATCCCCAGCTCTCCCTGTCAATAACCATTTGAACCAGCCTTCTGCAGCAGATGTGACAAGAAAACACACCTAAGAGAAGATGAGGGAAGAAGAAGGAAGCAGTAAACAATAGATATAACGTAGATAAAAGCACAAAGCAAAACTACCCTGTTCCTCAGTGACCGCCTTAATAACGGCACTGTAAGATCTCTCTGAAGGAATCTGAGTTTATTTTTCACACTATTGGACCAGCCATAAAATAAATATTGGATAAAAACAGTTGCTGCTGGAACACCAACTAAAGAGAAACTCCTGCAGGACAGTTCCAGTTGCAATCTATGGAAAAGCTCTTGAAAATAAGCCGATCCAAAGATGCTTTCTGTAAAATAATGAAATCTGCTACAAATCCAAGATGGAGCGTCTTCTTTTTAACTTTTATTTTCATTTTTTAACCAAATTATGCTTACATACACAGCACTTGCACAATTTCCTGAAAATATGTTTATCTTTAAATTGCAGGGAGCTGAACGCACAGAGAAAACTGTTGAAAATTAAAAATGTAGTTTGCATGCATTTATTTAATTACTCTTACTCAGTTGGAACTGAGCTTTTTTGTCAAGGATGGAATCATAAACATTTCCAAATATCAGTCAGACCCAAAACCTTGAGGTGTCAACAGGAAAGCTGAAAATAAGAAGTTTCATTTTATAACATCAGACTGCAACAAAAGTATAACTTTAATGGGGACAGGATTAAAGATTTGCAAATACCAAGCAACAGTCTAGAGCTAGAACAGAAAGAAATATCTGTGCAGTCGCCTGAAGAGAGCCGTGGATGAGAGCCGTGCTTACAATCCCAACTTTTTTAAGACAGAGAAAGTAAACATTACCGAATCAAAATGTGGGTGGCAGCTAGACCCCTAACAAAGAACACTGATTGGTGAAAATGTCAAATCAAAAGATGTTTTTTTTTAAGTCACAAAAAGCATTTAAACTGAGAGTTACTGCATGTAACCAGCTCAAAATCAGTGGGGTTTAACATAGGGATTTCCACCCACTACATAAATGCTCTCATATTAAAAGATGCATTTTTCTTCAAGTTTCAATAGAAGAAATGATGCCACTGTAACAAAAAATAACTTTATTTTCAAGTTTTGAACATTTTTGACAGAGATTCCAATAAGTGAAAAAAGATAAGTTTATTAAACAAATAATTGACTCATCAAACACCAGTTTAAAGAACTAAGATAAAAAACCATTAAGTAGCTGAAGTTGTGAGGGCTGAAATTCTGTCTGGCGAAATATAAACCAGAAGCTACAATAAATTAAAAACACAGGCTGTCTTGAGATTTAATAAGCTGTGAAATTCAACAATGCAATGGTTAAAGACAAGATTTGGATTTTAATGATTGTGCTGGGCCAGTTTCTCATTCTAGTGCCTGCAAACACGACACGGTCCGACAACAAAGACGGGCATCTTGCTCAGGCTTTTGAGACTGACAGGGGAGACAGACGGGTCAGCCTAAAAAATAAAGTGGCGAAGGAAGAGATAGGGAGCGAAAAGGCAGTCATGCAGCAAGAATATGGAATGAGGCGGTAAGCAGTGGATGGAGAGATCAGCCTCTGTGATAAACTCCTATTCATTGAAAGAGTGAGAGAGGGAGAGGAAGAAGAGACTTTATCTGCCCCTCCACCGCCTCTTTCTCACTGTTTGCTATCAAGCCTGCTAAGAGCTGAATGCATTAGAAATGTGACTTGGGATGAAGGGATGGGGACTGAAGGGAGGAAAAAGCACTGACTGCTGCGATATAAAGGCTAATTATCAGTAACAAAGGCCAAGCAGCTGACGGCGCTACGGTCTCCAGTTGACGGGTCAGCATTGTCAAGGTCGGATTTTTGGGGATTGGGCTGCTATCCATGACGATACGGCAGCTTGGACATCGCTATCAGTGCCCGTGGTCAACTTCTGAATCTGAGGAGGAAACCGATTTTCTTTTTCTCTTGTAGGAGACGAGAGAAAAAGACTCATTTGTCCCCGACTTATGAGAAGCAACTGTTTAGAGGTCACTTTTGGATCTTCTGACCTGCAGAGCTATAAAAAGGAACGTCCTTTGGCAGTTGTTCTTGCAGCAGGTTCCTGCTAGGCTCTGATAAAGCTGCATAAACATCCTAATCAGGAGGCTACATCAGCTCATATCAAACCCTACTTCATTCCTTCCCATTTTACTCTGTCGGCTGTGTAATTCTGCATATTATTCCTTTAAAGCCTTATCATGGAACCGTCTCTTTTACACCTAATGACTTTAAAAGCAAGTCTTAAGACAGATAAGCCCAGATGAACAGGAGTGCGCCGTGATTGCTGCCGGGTGATAAACACAAGCGGATTACCGTGCCGTCTCCGGCTTGCTTCCAAACAATTTACAAGATTATAACACGGCAGCCAGAATGTGAGCGTTCCCTCGCCGCATTCTGACGAGCGTACAGGTAGCGGCGTTGGGCGTGCGTGCAAACACACACGGACGGCACGAGATGAATAAAACATCAGGGCAATTTACATGATGTATAGCTTAAAAATGTGCCTGCATCTGACTTTTAGATCTAATACTAATACCCACGAGTGACCGAGAGAGGCAAAACTCAGTTTTCCTCATTTCTGGAAAAACAATGCAATTGCAGAGAAAAAAAAAATCTAATAGAAAAGCTCTATGAATGCAAATTGAGCCTTTTTGGGGGCAACGCGAGACAGAAGGGGAATCAGGTTAATATCAGCCTGAGTGACATCACTAGATCCATCCTGTTTTGACTGTGGGAGGCAGAGGGTGGGCAAAAAAACAACAACAAAAAAACATTTGCACTTGTATTGAGCAGAGAAGGGTGGTGTCCGAGTGGCGTCTGCTGCTCACTTGGACTTATCATATTAAATATAAACAGAGACAGCGAAGGGAAGGCCTATGTCAGCAGGTATTACAGAAACAGACTGCCAGGTTCATACAGGCTACTAAGTGATATCAGTTCAGGCGCCAGTGACCTCATGGAATCTGCGCTCTCCTGTTTAAAAGCATACAGTCGGCTTGTATTCTGGAAATGGGTGCACACGTTTATTCTTTGACAGAGGGTGAAAATTACAGTGCCTCGCATAAGTGTCAGAATTGAGTACCGTTTCTTAAATGTCTCTGCATTTTGGTCACAATACATCCATAAAGTTCAATGCTTTTTCTGGGATTTACCGTGAAAACCAACACGAAGCCACTAGTGACGTTGAAGTGGAACTAGAATATTTTTCTCAACATATAAACATCTGAAACTTTGGAATTGTTTTCATCGGCTTTACTCTTTCAGCCACTTTACAAGTCTGACCTCTCTAGAACAGTGGAAACCTGAAAGTTTTTGGTGAAAGAAAGTCAGAAGAAATCACGTGCAATTTGCTACCAGTAATAGAAGGGGACACTGCAGAACTGTGAAAGAAGGCACTCTGGGCAGAGGAAACCAAAATTCAAAAATTCACCTTTGGACTAAATGCAAAACTTTATGTACTCTCTACAACCAATGCCACTGACATTATAAAACAAGTCAGTGGCAGCATTATAATTTCATTCAACAGGGGCAAAAATGATGACTTAATTCATGAGAAATTGAATTATATAAAGGGGAGGTTCCAACCTAAACATATAACCAGAGATACAATGAAATAATATCAGTGCATTAGACTGATACTTCTGCAAAGTATTTACTCAGGAAGCCTGGAAGATATTTAAAATTTATAAAATATTTCACTTCTAAATTTATTTGCTACTTTTTGTTTGTCTGTCTCATAAAATTCCAATGAAATATATTGAAATATGTGGTTGCAATGTAGAAAAAGTGTAACATTTTAGAGATTTGAATGTTTTTAAGGCACCCCATGCAAATTAATTTAAATTTTTAGAGAAGGAATACCAAATAAGCTCTAACATACGATGCAGGTAACAGACATTTGGCACTACTTTGTTATTCACACGGACTCTACCAAACAGAAATCTGCTCTATCGGATTGAAAAATCCCCAAACTTACATGTTACTGTTCCATGAAGATGCATGCACACGTTGGTCATTCTTTTGAAAGGGGAAAGATGGTGATTATAAAGAGACTAATGACATCAAACTGACTGCTTTAGTCTCATGTTACATTACCTTTTAACAGTTAAGAAACAAGCTAATTTATAGTGCCCTACACAAAGAGAGTATATTTATAAATACACTGATTGCTCAATGTTTTTGTGATACATAAATTAATTCTAAACAATACTAAGTGTGTAACACAGTTGTATGCCTTAAGTGACAAAAAATAACTGGATTTTAGGTATGACTAGTATTATGAAACAAGAGGAAACTGAATAAATGAAGTTCAGATGAGGCAAAAAAAATCTTCTAAAATAAACAGCTTACTTTAGGATATACACACCTGTTTGGCATTGTTAACACACTGCAGGTAAAGAGCTGCTATGTTGGAGCAATTCAGAGTTTTTCCTGTGTTGTCTTTGTAGCAGCTTAGAATCTGGCCCTGAAGGTCTCCACACACTGGATGCACTTCGTACCTCCTGCAGGGATGAAAAGAGGAAACAAAGAAAGCGAGAGAGGAAAAGCATTTTATATGAGGTTGGTTATATGAGGATAAGGGCGGGGGGGCGTCTGATGAATGAATCCAAGAACGGGCTAAATAATCTAAAATGCAAATGGACTTTAAAGGAAAAAAATGCAAAACAAACGGTATGCAAAGGGGGGTCAGTTAAAGATGGGTCGTAAATACAGAAGATGTGGATATTAAATCTCCAGTTTAATATCCACATCCACAAACAAGAGCGATTGGGTACTTAGAGCTCACTGAGCTACATTGCAGATTACAGAATGTGTGTCTGCACGCACCCTCCCTGCCTTTTTTATTATTACTATCATTCCAGCTTGAAAGACCTGAGGCAAGAACTTGCAACACTATTTGCAGCAAGTAAGGTCAAAGGTCCACAGACTGCTGTTTGCACCACTACATATTGCCAGAGAGACCAAGGGGGGTCTAAAAAACAACTTCATCCCACAAAAACTGAAATACACCAGAGCACAGAGTAGGGGTTCTGATATTAAATATGTAATTCAGTAGATATTTTGAATATCTGGGAGAGCAATGATGGTAATAATGACGGTAATAAGGAAGCTAATTATTACCCAAAAAGTACACCCTTCTGGTAAAGTAGTCTCTCCTCGAACACATATGCTTAAAAATTCTCATGACAAATAACTGATCGCTCGTTTGGACAAATCCAACGATTCTGAACATCTCTCTGAAACCATGCACCTTGACTGTTTTACATACAAATCACCCATCTCTTGATATTCATATAAAATCTGTTTTATGGTAATATGTCTGTTGATACTGGAGGCAACACATCACTTTATGTTAGCATCTGTGAGTCTTTCCTCAAGGTATCATCTGCTGCTAATTAAGATGATAGAATATAATGAATGGCATTACTATTGGTACGGCACCTTGGAAATTTATTCTTATATTCAAGTTTTATCAAGTTGCAAAACACAAACTTCAATGAATTTTGAAGAAGTGCAAAGATTTTAAAAGATCTTGAAAGAGAGAGGTATGCAATTATTTGCAGACAATTTAATCAACACTTAAGCAAGACAATCTTTTGTTGCTTTTGAAGTTTCAAATTTTGGGGGTATGTCTCTACTAGTTTTGCAGCTTTAGCAGAATTTTTCAACTACTCACAGACTCTCAGATGGATTTAGGTCTGCATTTTTACTACCTCATGTTCAGATGCTGACGTAAACCTCTCTGATGTCATCACAGATATTTCTGCTGTGCCCCATCGTCTTTAATGCCATTTGTTAACTAATGTTCCCTAACAAACCTCTAAGGCCTTCACAGCTGGATTTACTAGTTAAATGATTTCTGAATGCTTGTGCTTTATCTCGTTTTGGCTTTTCAGACCAAAGGGGACGAAACAGGAATGAAGAATATTCTTTTGCAACTTTGATTTATTTTGTAGTAAATCTTGCAGTATTTTCTTCCTTACTTTGATACTATAAACTCAGCAGTCGTAAATGTAGTTAAATGTGACTTTTGGCTTAAGTGTATTTCGGAGTGGGATGTTTTAACCAATCCCAGCAGCTGGATATTCCACTGACACTGGTGTCTTGTGCAGCGTAACTGCTTTGGTCTCTCTGTTCACACACCCCATAAAAATCCATAATGACTACGCATGCAGATGCCTCCTGGCCTATTATGCTAATAGCGGTGTCATCGCTTTGCTCACATGAGTGCTCAGGACACAGCATCTGCCTCACTAGGCGCGCCTCGCATGGGTGTGAAAGGCAAAGGGATTTTGCCTGGCAGCAACTCCGGACATCTCAAAGGAATATTGGGCGATGAAGCCAAGCCCCTGTAGTCAGAATCAGATGTTTGATTTGCATCCTGGAGAGAGGAATTACCCCCCTGGTGGATACAAAGTGTGGGATTGGTTGCATGGGTCATTACCCAGGGTGCAATGCAGCAGGAAGCTGTTGCAATGAAGATGTGTACATATGCGCCATCGCCACATGGTCTTAATTGCTTGGAGTGTTCAAAAAAGGAAAAAGAAAAATCTATATGCGGTCTTTTTCATGGAGTCTTGTATGAGCGCTCGTCTCCAAAACTTCAACATTTAGATGCATCAGCAATTTTCTATTTTTAGTTTTTGGCCTTTACAGTCAATTTAAGATGGCTTTTTTCTTCCTTTTTTTGTAGAACAGCTCTAAACACAGTCTGACCATTCAAATGTAACCATTCAAATTGGAGCTTTTTCGCTTTCCACTGTTAATGCGCATTGTCTGCCTTAATGTTAATTAAGGCAGGCAATGTGCTCCTAGCTACTCTCTTTTACTGTTAGCTTATAGATGCAAGTGTGGTCTCTACTTTCTCAACTACCTAGCTGCAAAAAGAAAAAGGGATTAAGTATTCATTCCAAAGCATTGGACTCTTTTTTTGAGTTCAGTCCCGGAGCACCTCTATAACTTAAATAACACCCAACATTTGCCTCTTGCGGTGCAGCCTGGAACATTACGCTACTGGGAGTGGAAAAGGTTTTTGCATTTGCGGATCTATCAAAGCGAGATTCAGCCATTTGCCAGAATGCATGACAAGACCATCGCTCTGCGTCATGGGGGGCTGAACGATGACAACGGCGCTGGCAGAAATCACTGCCATCCTATTCCTATGGATCCTGGCGCTCATTTATTACACCGCCTATGGGCATCTACAGGGAGGCTAGGAGCCACATAAGCACACTAATTACTTTCTTAAGCATTCCCGTTAATGCCAGGTGCATCCTGCTGATACAAACCGCCGTGTTTATCACCAGTAATGGCCCCAGAGAGAGACGGAGAAATGGAGAGAAGGGTAGGAAGCGAGAGGAAAGGAGGGTGGACTGAAATGAAGAGGATTTCTTGATGAAAAACCAAACAGAGGTACTTCTATTTATGCTTAATCTCTGGTTCTCTCAGGGGAAAGGGCCGTGAATGTGGCTGAGTTAATCACAGAGACAATAACGCTGTCACACACACTGCAGCGCGATGTTGCATCCTCTATCATCTGTCATTAAGATTAACATTAAGTTCCTGCCGCCAACCGCACACAGCCGGTGCAAAGTGACTACAACTTCCCCTCCCGCCCTCGTTTTTACATTAAATGCTCTTGTGTCATTTTCTATGTGACTGCTGTGGAGCAGAATGAGCCAAGCGCAAAAACAGATGTGCTAAATAAATTATGCAAATTAAGATGAAACATGCCACTTAGTTTTTAACATTTCTTGAAATATTCAACATATTACAAAAGCTACTTTTAATTATTTTTATTTAGAAATATATGGTAAAACTAATAATTACCCTTGGATGTTGCTTTAATTTTTACGGTTATTGTACAACTTAAACAACAGTAGCACATTTGAATGCTGATGCATGGCAGCTTCTGCCACTTTGTGAATTTTAAAATTTCCTTACAAATATTATAACAAATAGATCAACCTTTTTGTCCTCGCTCTATATCTTTTTATTTTGTTGGGGTTAATTAACGTGAATATATTTAAGACCACTGAGCTTGAGTGTCTCCTGAATTTTAAAAGAACTAATCTTCAACAAATTGTAATGGTCACATTAAATTCAGGTTTTCTGCCAAAATTAGACTAAAAAAAAGACTATTGAAGAGCAGATGTGGGAGTTGTGCTATGATCCTTTGTGTAATTTTTGCCAGATTTTTAGAAGGAATATCTTAACATCTGAAAAAGCATTCTGCTTGTTGTATTGGCCAATCATCTTTTGTATTTACCATCTCCTTCCTAGTTTCTACTTCATGCTTATTCAAATGTGGCTGTTGAGTCAAAGCCAAGTTCTCGACAGGTGAGAGGAAGACTACAGCAGAACCTTGAAGCAAAAGCGGTTGATTGGTTCGGAGAAAAACAGCTCATTGGACCAAAGTAAGGCACTTATCTCAAGTCTCTCTGTAGCTGTTTTGGTCCTGGATGCTCAAGCTGATTCCAAGCCTTGTTTTACTTATCAGCACCTCTTCTGTAAAATAAATAATTTAATAAATCTAAGTTTTATTTTGATTTTTATGTTTAGGAAGTGTATATGAATCATGTCTATGTGAATATTAATGAAGAGGAGAGAAAAAATGTGTCCTTCAGATGGATTTTTCATATATTCAGAGAGTGATTTGTGAATCTACAGCTTTACACTGATGTTTCTCAACAGTCCCAATGACTCATTATTGCAGGCTGCATGGTTTTCTAATTTGGTTGAAATAACATTTATACGCAAAAAAAAAAAAAAAAAAAGAAACAGGAAATTCACTAAAAACATTCACAAATGTATTGTAATGGCAAATCAATTAATTTGACTGCAATTTATTCATGCATAATTTATGCCATCTCCTTTATTGTTTTACTTTCAAATTAATTAGCTGAATTTTCAATCTAACATCATGTTCCCAGTCAGTGAAAAAAATTACCGGCACATCAACATTGCAACGTTGAGACCAATGTACAGTACCCGGTTTCAATCACCTGATCCAGTCTCATCATTATTTACAAGTTCTTTACTCCTTATTGCAAACCAAAGAGAGATTCATAGCTTGCTTAATAAAACTGCACATGGCACTGAAATAAATATAGTCATCCTGTCATATACAGTGTACTATTTGCACTGCGCGAGTTTAAGAGTGTACTCTGCCTTCCTTCATCCCCCGAGACAGTAAATCTAAACAGTCATATAGGGGTTTCGACTTATTGCCATCAGTAGCAGTAAAGGTCTCCATAACAACTCCTCATACAACCCAACCCCCAATACACACATGCACCCATGCAAAGGCACAAAATTCCCCTATCCCTGATTTACTGATAGAGGGACAAATAAAAGGGAGGCTGAGGTGTCTGTATTAGTGTGTTTATGCTGCACGTCAAACACCACAAAGAAAAGAGGAAGAAGAGTTAATCATGACAGTGGGTTGTGAAAAATTAAAACTACCCAATACGTTTGCTCATTTAGAAATAAGAATATTTAT